GTTAATAAAAGCATAAATTGAGGATTCTGGGCTGCATTATCATTGAGGCTGTTATTGATGGTATTTTTACACATTTTACTTGGAAAATTTGAAGAACAAAAACAGGTTTGGCCTTGTGCCAGCTGGCTCAGGCATTATATTATGGTTAGAAGGTGTTTGTCACTGCAGAAAAATATACGGTTAACAGTCCCATCCTAATGCCCTCCAGACGCATGTTCAAACAGGAGGCGGAGGCCTCTGCAAGGCCCCGCGTGGACATTGACCCACTCAGGTCTCAAGCAAGTGGTTTCTGCTCTCTGGGCCTGTTTTCTGCTCTGTAGATTGGGTGGTTTGGAACAATCTCCAAGGTTGCCCCCAGCTGTCCTGTTTTGCAACCGTGAGGTTTATTTAAGTATAAGGAGACCCTTTGGAGTCTGGAGGTCACTCCCTGGCTGTTTCTCTCAGGTCTTTCTCCTCTTGGCTTCCCAGACTTGTCCAAGTGTATGGACAAGTATGAGGCTGTGGTTCGCTCTTACTTTGTGACAAAATAGAGGACACTGAGGAATTTCAGTTTCTAGATAGCAGACTGTTCGGTCTATGTACCACGCCCGCCCTCTCGTTCTCACAAGTTCCGAGAACAGCTGCCGCCTCTGACGCGTTATTTCCGTGCTGCTCTGAGAACTGTTACCGTCTCCCTTCAGCCCTGGCCCGGGTGTCCTGAGCCATTATCGTGCCCCTGCTGAGAGGGCGGTCAGACTCTCCTCTCACTGGACTTTTGTTGGGAGATATCAAGTCACCTTGAGGCCTGGGCTCCCCTGCACGGCCTAGAGCCACGTGCCCTGTCTTCCTGGAAGTACATTTTAGAGCTGTTGGAGGTCCAAGGAGAGACCACCACCCCAGCTTACCTTCCATCACTTTACAGTCCCGGGAACTGATGCTCAAAGAGGCTTACTGCCTTTGGGTATCAAGGGTTGATGATGGAGAGAATGTTCTAGGGCCCAGACCAGCACCTGCCTTAGGACTGCCCTCCCCAACACACACTTCTCCCTTATGTCAGAGGTTACAGAAAGTTGACGATCATGGTATTAATTAATGGCAAAAATTTAGCCTTGGCTTTGTAAATTGCCCCAAAAGGTTGCCTCAGAGGTTTTAGGCAGGAGCCTTAGGTATATCACTTGGCTCCACTGTATCCCAATTTCATTATGTTCACGCGGGAAAAGGCACCTGGCTCTTTCTATCCCATAGTCATGCTGTGGAAATAAATATGAATATGAATTTTTCCAAGCCTTAAGAATCATTCTAAGGGCCACACATTTTGTGTAAAATTGCATTTACTCTTCTGGTTGCTTGTCTAAAGTTTTCAATAAATCCAACTTACACATTTCCACGTTCACAGCGATTATAAAAAGTACATCCCAATTGTTGATAAAGTGTGCTTGTTCCTAATTTTACTGGTTATTAGAAAACTAACAGCCTTAAAAAAAATCTTCCACACATTGGAAATAGAAATTATGGGTTGGGACTACTTATGTGATTATTAAAAGATTAAGACAGAATCAAGATTAGAATTTGTGAAGTTTTATATCCCAGGCCTTTATGAGAGGGTCAATATCCTTATACAAAGTCTGTAATAAATAGTCATTAGTGTCTTTGAGACTGAAAGGAAACGCAAAGAATTTGGAAGGAGGTAGCATCTGTGCTAAGGAGTTGATACAATTTTTTAAAATTTATTTTTATTCGAATATGGTTGCTTTATAGTGTTGTTAGGTTCTGGTATGCAATGAAGAGAATCAGCTACATGTCTCCATCTATCCCTTTCCTCCTGGACCTCCCTCCAACTCTGCCCACCCATCTCAGCCCTCTAGATCATCTCAGAGCACCGAGCCGAGCTCTCTGTGCGTGCAGGTTCTCACTAGCTGTCTGTTTGCACTTGGCAGTGTATATACGTCAGTGCCCCTCTCCCAGTTCATCCCCCACCCTTCCCCCACTGTGTCCACGTCTGTTCTCTACGTCTGTGTCTCTGTTCCTGCCTTGGAAATAGGTTCATCTGTACCATTTTTCTAGATTCTACATATATGCATAAATCAGAAAGAGAAAAACAAATATGAATGCATATAGGAGGAGTTAGTACATTTTTTATTCTGCCTTTTCTAGCCCTTTACTTTGTAAATCCATACACTGAACGTAGTATTATTAGACACTTCATTAGTGAATTAATGCACTGAATGCATTCAATTATTATTCACTGTAACATTTTGCATTTTAACCAAACCAGAGCTGGACGGGCTATAGTGGGACTGGCATTCAGGCAGGCATGTTTGTAACTATAACACATTTACGACACTGGACCCACCATGCTCTGCTCCAGACAAATCCCATCTAGCCACGATTCAGGAGACTCTTGGTTCTCACGTGTGGTCTGCAAACCCGCCGTATCAGCATCATCTGTGCTTCAGACGCCCCATCCCACACCTGCTGGGTCAGTATCCATATTGTCACGTGATGCCCAGGCAACTCCATCGCCCATTAAAGTCTAAGAAGCACTGACTTGGCAGCCTTCAGTTCTGTTCACTCCCACTAGTCTGTGATAGAACGTTAACGCTTTCATATTCCGTACACCTAAGAAAACAGTTCATGAGACTGAAGTGAAAGTTGCTCAGTCGTGTCCAACTCTTTGTGACCCCGTGGACTATACAGTCCATGAAATTCTCCAGGCCAGAATACTGGAGTGGGTAGCCTTTCCCTTCTCCAGGGGATCTTCCCAACCCAGGGATCAAACCCAGGTCTCCCACATTGCGGGAAGATTCTTTACCAGCTGAGCCACAAGGGAAGCCTGCTGTTAATTCTTTCCTTTGCTGAATATGATTATCATTTGCTAGCCTCTCTTCCCCCTCAAAAGTTATCCTACATGTATTGTCAGTTTTATAGTTTATAACCCTGTCTGACTGTCTTTCATTAAGTTGATTATTCCTGCTTTGATTTTTATGCCAGAAAGTAATTTGTAATCTGACAATTCCTAGCGTTCTTGTTTTATCTGGAATAACCTTTTACAAATGAATGTTCAGGAGGAAAAAGACCACTAGCCAAGAGCAGTGATTGCTTTTTTTGGCCAGTGTTTAAAACCCCCAAAGAGGGCATTCACCTTGATTTTCTTCCCTTTTATTCTTAGTAGGAAGTGGTATAATGGAGGATTTTTATTTTCAAGAAAAGAAAAACAATATAAGAATCAAACGCTTGTTAATTTAGCTGTTTTTGTCCCCCAAGTCCTCTTCCTACCTCTCAGCCCATCTGATCATTTCAGCTGTCTTCATCGTTTAATACAGCCAGATCCTTCTATTTAAAGGCATTGGGAGTTGCTTTTCGCAAGTTTTCTAATATGCTAAGGAAAGCAATTTCGGTTAATTGGCCAGGGAGGCTCTGCCCTTGCCAGGGTATGCCAGGTGGCATTCAGGGCCAGGGCAGGTGCTGGGCGTGAGAACACGCTCACCTCCGTCAGCCCAAGCCCAGGCAGCCCCTCCATGAGCTGCTGCAGCTCTGCAGTGTCATTAGACCTCTTAAGGCTCAGTCCTGGATTTCATCTGGAAAAGGAAAGGTTAAGGAAGCTTATATTCTAGAAAGACAGGGAACTCTTCCTGACAGTCATGATGCAGTGATCCCACCTGCCTCTCTGAAGACATCTGCGTCCCCCTAACTAGACAGACTTCAGATCACTGGGGCTTTGGAATGCCCACTTGGGAAGAGGAAGGTGGAGTGACTGTCTTTCCCTGTGCGTCCTTCACATGCCGTCCAGTGGGGCTGGGCAGGGAGTGGAAGTCAGTTCTCAAGGGCACAGTGAGCATAGGTGAAGACCAGACTTCCTCAGATGCTGGGGGCTTGCTGATCCCACTAATCCTGTAGGCAGTGTAATATGCTTGGGAGAAAGGAGGAGAGTTCCCCGAGGCTCTGAGAAAAGAGATTCAAACGGAGTCACCTAACAGAGCAGCAAGGACTTAGCTAGTGGGAGTGTGGACAGCCTGACTCTGGGGAGTGAAATTCTAGATAGTAGAGTGAAATGAAGCCAGGAGAGCCCCTGTTCATAGCCCCACCTCATCCCCTCCAGGAGATGAACTGTCCTCAACAATGACTGAAGTGGGGTTGGGGGTAGACCAGGTCAGAATCTTCTAGAGCTGTGTTAGAGCACACCTGCCCAGGCCAGGCCCTCCCAGGGCAGCCACAGACCCCAGGGTTTACTAATCGAGTCATTTCCTACTTGAGTAGTTGACTAGTTGAGAACTTGGGTTCGGTGCCAGCCACATTGCAGATGGAATTCTGGCTCTTCTGCTTGCTAAAGCTATGTGACCGTGGCTCAGTTATTTTACATCTCTGATCCCCATCTCCTCATCTGTAAAACAACAGTGATATAAATAGTAATTGTTCCATAGGAATGTTATCAGAGTTGGGAGAAGTGCTCTGTGCCTAACTCTTGGCAGAATACCTGTTGTATAAGGAAACACTCAGTGAATGTAAAATGTCCTCCCATGGCTGGAACCTAACTTTATTCAGAAGGAAACCTGAGCTCTTGTTCAACTCAAAAGAACAAGGTAAACAGAGCAGCTTTGATTATAATTCTAGACATTAGAGTCACTATTTTCATTTCACTTGAAGGACTTGCCATTTGTGTTACAATGAATAGAAAATGTCCTCCTCCTTATCAACTTCTTCCAAACACAGATTTTGTTCTTTTTAAAAACTTTTTATTTTGTAGTGGGGTATAGCCAATTAACAATGTTATTGACAGTTTCGGGTGAACAGGGAAGGAGCTCAGCCGTACATATACGTGTCCCCAAGTTCCCCTCCCATCTAGGCTGTTACATAATACTGAGCAGAGTTCCCTGTGCTATCAAGTAGGTCCTTGTTAGTTACCGATTTTCAATATAGCAATGCAAACACATATGTTTTTGAAAACTTGTCGTGACAACAAATGACCTGGAAACTGGCCTTTAACTGGTTCTCTTCCTTCCTCCCCCATCGTCCACGGGAAGAATTCCCTGACCCGGAGTGCACCTCTTCCCAATGACTCCCAGGCCCGCAGTGGAGCGCGATTCCACACGTCCTATGACAAGAGGTATATCATCAAGACCATCACGAGTGAAGATGTGGCCGAAATGCACAACATCCTGAAGAAATACCACCAGGTAATGTTTCTTTATTTTTATTTGACACTCTGAGGTGGTCAACATTCGTAATGAATTATCATCAAGGCCCAAGATTTAAATATGTAGTTAGGTCATGACGAGAACACATTTGACACAAAAATTCCCTCTGGCTGTGTTTGTAAAAATTATTGTGTCCAGATTACAGACAGTTAACATTTAGGAATGGTAGATTGTTAGTTATATGTGTAACACTTCTAATCTAAACACCCTTCTGTACAGTAGTTCCGATGATTCCCATTCTGATTTTAAAATCACTGAGCTTAAGGGTTGGCAACATTTTGGAAGTTATTCCGCACATGCCTGCCGGCAGTGAGGTGTTGACCCCTGAGTATTTAACCAGTTACACCTTTTGAGAAAAGTCTCTGATTTTAGAAAACAGGTGTCTGTCTACTTACAACCTCCTTTTCAGAGCCCTCAGCATTGTCCCTTCATAATCTCCTGGGGGTAGAATGAACTGTCCTGGGGAACGTCCATCTCTTTCTACCATGGGCCCCCCACTGCTCTCTTTCTTGATAAATCCAGCACAGGTGCCGCAGAGCACACTTGCCGCTGCACTCTAAGCCCTCCATAAGTGGTAGTGGTCATAGCATCGCCAAGTTCTGCAGCCGTGACCAGTCACAACTGTGTCCCCTTGAGGAAGTGTAGTCTTAGGGTGTGAATATGGCACTGCTGATGGTGGCATTTTCGAAGCAGTCACCTTGAGAACTGGTGTTTAAACCACACACTGCAGCACATACCCACACAGGCACACACACATACTGCTGCTGTTAACCAAAGACGCCTCAAAAGTGTTTATATCATCACATCAAGTACCAGCCTCGCAAAGTGACTTCTTCAAAGGTGCTGCTTGGTTGGGTCTGTGGGCGCTGAGCGTCTGTGAAAGTCGGCTTCCTTCCTCTATGGTCCCGCTTTCTGCTCCAACATCAGAAATTGTTTCTTGCCGGTTGCTTACTCTGCTCAAGTGTGATCGACTCCATTTTGCTCCTAGTGAGGTCAGTGAAACTCTTGAAGCTCCCTGCCTCCTGTTTCTGGAAACGTGGAGCTCCCCTGATTTGTATTTTTAAAAACATTAGTCAGCCTCTAAATTCATTTAACATCTATTCAATCTTTATAACACTGATTCCTTTTGAAATCCATTCTACAATGCTTGCGCCATTGCCAATTATGAAGGAAATTTTAAAGTGCCAGGTTAGTAAGTATAAGGGTAGACATCAGGTTTGGCTTCTGAGTGGATGGAATTCTAGGATGCAGCTCTTAACCAGGCACCCCCCGCTGGAACTTACTGTTATGCTGGTGCATCTTTTTCCACTTTCTTTAAATTGTCTCAGAACTTTCAAAGCAGTATGGTACCTCAGTGACCGATGAAAACATATTATTATGATAAGTGAGGCTGTTCAAACGCAGTGTGACATGCAATTCAGATACCAACTTCTCGATGACATCTCTGAGTTCAGAATTTTTTGACTTTTACAGAAGTCACAGTTTGAAAGGTTTCCTCTGGGGTGGTTACTGTAACGAACGTGCAGATTTGACATATCAGCAGTACTACATAAAATGCATTGGGGACCAAAATATAAGTCTATTAACATGCTCCAGGGGCTGTCACAGCCCTAAATATTTCCTTTCACTTCACTGCTACAAAATGGCTATTTTTGTAGTATGTTCTTTATCCAGAAAAAGCTCATTTCTCATTTCTTCATCATCTGTGTTTTTCCTCATGTAAAAAGTCTTTTATTTTTACTTTTGGCCGTGCTGGGTCTTCATTGCTGCACACGGGCTTTCTCCAGTTGCGGTGCACCAGCTTCTAACTGTTGTGGCTTCTCTTGTTGCGGAGCTCTAGGCATGCAGGCTTCAGCACGTGTGGTGCACAGGCTTATTTGCCCCCTGTTCCCTGCATTAACAGGTGGGTTCTTAACCAGCGGCCCACCAGGGAAGCACAAAACGTATTTAAAATATAATGAAAGGGTCTTAGTGCTAACCTTAAAACAGAGTGTTGTGGGTCAATTATTCTTTAAAAACAAAGACACTCATAGAAAAAGGGATCAGATATGAGGCTACCAGAGGTGGGGGAATTGGATAAAGGCAGTCAAAAAAGTACAGACTTCCAGTTACAAGGTAAATAGTAGGGCTGTAATGTATAATATGATTAATCTAATTAACACCACTGGATGTTATATATGAAAGTTGTTAGGGAGTAAATCTTAAGAGTTCTCATCACAAGGAAAAAAATTTTCTCTTCTTTTGTAACTGTATGAATGATGGATGTTCACTAAACTGTGATAATCATTTCTTGATGTATGTGAGTCAAATCATTATGCTGTACACCTTGAACTTGTACAGTGCCGTATGTCAGTCACATCTCAGTAAAACTGGAAGAAAACAATCTTTAAATAAATAGAGGTAAAGGGTCTTCGTGACTGAGAATCACCATTGCTAATACAATTTGTTTAAAGGACAGTAGGTGGAAGGTCAGGAGACCTAGGTCATAGCTGATCACAAACTAGCTAATTCAGGGATCTATGAACCTCAGTTTCTCCATCTGCATTTCATTCATTCATTCCTTTGTGCATGCATTCACTCTTTTTCTTATTGAAGTATGGTTGACTTACAATATTGGATTAGTTTCAGGTGTAGGGCATAGTGCTGTGATATTTTTATAAGTTATGTACCACACAAGTTTTTATAATGTTATTGACTATATTCCCTGTGCTATGTATTTACTCTTGACGTAATTCCATAAAGCAGGTAAGGTGGCCTAGACTACTTTTAGGATTTACCACTAGTCAGAATTTTTTTTCTTACTTCGGTGGGGACTGTCATTTCTTCTTTTCTTGCTTTTACCTTCTGATGTGCTTCTGAACCAGCAGTCTGGTCTAGACAAGTCATTAGGCTTGTTCAAATCCTATTATCAAGAGACAGGACAGGCTCTCAGAGAGGGCAGCTCCTATGAAGTATATTGGATGGGCTTTCTGACAGAGTTGGTTATTCTGTGCCTCTTCTTTTTTTCTTTTCTTTCATTGTTCTTTTTTTGTGTTTAAGTAAAATATATCCGGAGGTGCAGCTGTATTCTGGAAGGTTAAAACTACCCTAAGGCCAACCTCTGAAGGAGTAGCACAGTGCTAGGTGTTGAAAGAAATTCCTCCTGATTTTCTGATGAGCCAGCCTCACCAGCAGTGCCCATGTGGCAGGTGGTTCAGAAGATGAACTCTGGAGCTGGCTGCTTTGCCCCCGACCTGCTGCATGACCTTGGGCAAGTTACCTAACCTCTCTGTACCCGCTTCTCTGTCCTTAAAATTTGGGTGGTAGTGTCTCCTCCATCCCGTGTTGTATGGGCTTCCCAGGTGGCGCTAGTGGTGAAGAATTTGCCTGTAGTGCAGGAAGACTTGAAGACACTCAGGTTCGATCCCTGGGTCGGGAAGATCCCTGGAGGAGGGCATGGCAACCCTCTCCAGTATTCTTGCCTGGAGAATCCCGTGGACAGAGGAGGCTGGTGGGCCACAGTCTCCATAGGGCCGCAAAGAGTTGGATACGACTGAAATGACCTAGCAGCGGCAGCAGCACCCTCCTTCATCTGGTGTTGTGCTAATTAGGGGGATTGACATTTATAGCCTGCTCAGGACAGTGTCTGGTAAATAACAAGCACTATGTAAATGATCGAATACGATCTTTAAGTACTTCTCTTGCCGGTGTCCCAGTGTTGAAATCATTCAATCCACTAGGGGGCCTGGTTTCTGGTAGAGTGTGGCACAGATGCAGAAAAATTTGAAGATCCAAACTGTAAGAAGTTAGATTTCTTCCAGGCTCCAGCATCCTGCCGTAGTTTTTATCTGCTGCCCAGATCCCACCCTGATTTTCACTGTGTGCTAAGAAAGCACAGCATCATCTTTCAGACCAATGGAAAATTTATATTAAGCAGAGCAAACTTTTATGTTCCTTTTCCTTTGTTTTTTTTCTCTTTTTTATAGTTGGGAAAATAACTTAGTGTTTTGGTGTAATCTTCTTTAGATTTCTGTCAGGTTAGGCAAACTCAGGTCTTATAGATGATGATTATTGACTGGTTAGCTAAGCAATGTTGGAGCATTCAAAAAGGAAAAATATGGTCAAGAACCTTCTTGAATGTCTTATTTCTCCTGCGTTGACTGATTTTTTTTTTTTAACTGACCTGAATCCACTGGAAGTTTTGGAATCATGTACCTTCTTCAGCTTTAATTAAAATGAAGTCAGTGTCAGTAAAATTTTAAAAATTTTAGAGGAGGGAACACGTTCCAATGTAGATAATCAAGAAACGCCTATGAAAATAGTATTAAGAATATCTTTTATGTTTTTGAAATGTAGGGTTTAAATTTGTTTTTTATTTCAAAGTGACTAAACTGACAAATTGACCAAGTAACCTAAAAATCCTTTCTTAACTTTTGTTATCCGGAAGACTGTTGGTAACTTGAACCGAATCTAGAAGTTATGCCTAAAACTCTGGAATCATCGTTGGAAAAGCTACTTAGTACGTCAGGTTTCAGGGGATGAGGAGGGTGACTGCTTGACTTTTTGGATCTTCCTTGGAATACATCTTTCTATCCTCCCATGAGGGACAGTGGTGTTGGCCACAGACAGAAACTGAGAAAACAGGCCCAAGAAAGCCAAAAGGTAAAACTTTAAAAATTAAGGGTATGGTGCCAAAAGAGAAGTTAGGCCCTTCATCAGCACGTCCCAAATTACTGATTGGAGACAGAATACCTGCACAGCTTGTGAGGATTCATGTTCTGACTCAATAGATCGGGGTGGACCTGAGACGCTGCGTGTCACGGGCTCTCGGGCGATGCTGATGGAGCCCCTGTAAATGGCAGTGCGGGCCCCACCTCCTGGAGCAGGAGAAATATTCCAAGTCTGCTCATTGGTTCTTTTTGTTCTCTGTGGAGGAGAGGCCGGTGGAAATGTGAAAAGCACAGTCAAGCTTTACGTGTAAGCAGCTGGAACTGTGAGAT